CTCGTGCGACGCCTTCCGGCAAATTGCGTCAAGAATCGCTAGGCGAGTTCTTGCCACGAATCAATGCAGCCTTCGGGCAACTGGTTGAACCATTCGTATGCCGGCCCATCTAAGGTGGAGAGGAACCAACGACACAAATATTCGTCCGACGCCCCTACCATCATCACGCTGTTCTGATATTTGTTGTAGTGTTCCTGGGGGTCCGTCTTCCCGTTGTAGGGCTGTATGTGTTGCCCTCGGTATTTTTCCGGGATCCGGGCCGCCAATACCCTTAGGGTAAATGGCGTCCTGGTCCGGAGTTGGATGATGGGTTCCCCGGAGCCCTCGGCTACCTTCTTCTGCAATTCCTCCATTTTGGCCATCATGGCCTCGTATTTGAGGTCTGAATGAGGGGTGGAGGTGGTGGCGTGAGCTTTGTTGGCCTCCATTTCATCAAGCCGGCGTTGGAGGGCCGCAATAATTTCGTCCCGGGGGGTCCTTCGGGAGGGTCTCCGCCCCCTGCGAACGAACCCGGGCCGAGTGGGCCTGGTTGATTTGGTGGCGAGCATCGTCGGCATGAAGGGGTGCCTTGCCTTTGTCCCGAGGGGGACGCTCCTCGTCTGCCCTCGAGACAGACCCTCCGCTTTCCTGGGGCCTTTGGAGTGCTTTTCCCCCGAGGCGGTCTTGGACCCCTCGGCGGTCTTGCCCCCCTCCGAGCCGGTTGAGGGCAAAAGTGCGGGGCCTTTCTCTGTTGTCATTTTGGCGGTCCCGGGACTGGACTTGCTGGGAGGCCGTATCTTGGGCCACTACCCCTTCGTCATTCCTAACCCGAGGGATGGGGTTTCCGAAGGGGTGTGGCAGAGGGGGAAGCATGATGTTCTCCCCAACCTGGGGTGGAGCCGGAGCCGGAGCCAGGGTGCCGAAGGCACCCGGGTTCTGAGTTAGCGTTTGGATGAAGGCGGAGAGCGCCGAATGAACGTCGATGGTGAGGACCGGAGGGCTGACTTGGTCATCACTCCGGTTTTTCTTCTTGGCCTCGATGCCGAGGCGGGCATCGGGGGCATTTGCTGGATCTGAAGGCGTAGGTCGACAGCCGCCTGTTCCAGCCCAGCGATGACACCGCCCTCGGGAGCCCTGTGAGAGGCTTCGGCGGCGTTGACGTCGCCGAGGGCCAGATTCTTATCTTCTACGTTTTTTAAGTTGGCACGTGATGTTCTCACCATTTTGGTAGAGGGCTAGTGTTTGGCGAAGGGGGAGGGTTTCTTACTCGATTGTTCGACCTCTCAACGAGAGCACCAAATGATGGATAGTGTACCCGGGGGGTAGCTTATCCGAGGGGTTATCACGAGGAATAACAAGAGAGAAGTCAGAGCAAGCAAGTATAGAGAGAGAGTATATTATAAAGAGTGGAGCGTTTTCAGCGTGGTTACAAATGGGGAAATGGGGTGCTATTTATAGTAGCAATAAATACCGGACAGGGACACGTGTCAAGCGCTCATTGGCCGAGGGGTCACCTCAACTGGTTGGCGTTGGCAACCGCATGTGGCCGCATTTAATGCGGCTGTTGGATGAGACATCGTACTTGGTACGGTGACCCAGATGCGCGTGGAGGGAGGATCCTGTCGTGTGAGCTGCCTTCGGCCGCATAGTAGTTGCCGAAGGCTCTCTGTTGCTGAGGGCCCGCTAATGCCGAGGGCTACTGTTTTTTTTGCCGTTTTCCTCCCAGTTTCTTAGTTTGCTTGAAAAAACCGTTCTGTGAGAGATTTGAGCCTTCGGCTAGGGGGCCGAAGGCTCCCCAGTGTGCGCTGTGGGCTGCTAAGTGCTTGGGGCGCCGTAATTTGGGCCTGCTGTGCTTCCTGGGCCGGTTGGGCCTTTATTGGTGTAGTAGGAGTCTGTGGGCCGGGGATTCCCGGGTCATATACTCCATCGGAAAGATATTAATGGTCAAACTTGTGCTTTGGCAAACGTGAAATGTTGACTGTTGCAATTAAAAGAGAACGGAGTATTTGCTTCATAAAGTTCTAAAAAATATATTGTTGTTTTATTAGACATCCAGCTTTCATAAATAATAATCTACTACTCCGTATAAGACACATGTCTAACGAAGTTATGAGTTTTAAACTTTGAAGCAACAATAAGAAAAATATGTTACATGTGACTATATATGTGAGATTAATGATATGGTTTAGTGTTACGTTATCAGCTAAAGGTATAAGACTGTATGTATGACTTGTTTACTTTTCATTTGGACTAATATTTTACTTTACGATAAGTTTATTAGTAATTTGATTTTATTTTAATGTATTTTCTTTATTTGTTTATTAATTGAAGAAAGAACTGTAACTTTTGATTTACTGAATTAGGAGGTATAAATGGACATATTCCTGAAATATGAGTAAAAACATTGTAAATTTCAAAATACAATTACAATGTTATTCTTAGAAATAGGAGTACATTATTAGTATTATTCTAAAAGTTTATTACCACATTTTTATACTATCAGACTTTAAATATTGAAGCACACTATTTGTATCATTGTCACTATTTACATAATATGACAATAGTTACTCTCATTTAAAGAATAAAAACTTGTGTTTATATTTTGAAATTTCAAAACATTTTACTCCCATTTAGTTTTATTTCCTTATATAAATCAAAGTTATACCCACAATTGCTTAGTTGGATAGGTATTTGGATATTCTCGTTAGCTAATGACATTTAAATTGATTTTGTGAAATCCTTTTGGCGTTAAAACTATTTCAACTATTTATATAATAATACCTGATAATCTATATATATATATATAAAAGCGCAAAAGTGCAGCGCCTTTTTTGAGCGGGAACTGCTGAAGATGATTGCACCGTTTACATATTTAATCCTTTTTAATAATCTGCAATTAATTATTAGCATGGCGCAATACTCAATGAGGTTGAGCTGTGATTAAATATCCAGGTGAGACGACTTTTCATTGTTCGGAGATTTACCAAATAGTACCAAAGCATGGCCTTTTCCCCAAAATAGTACCACTTAGTTTAAACATTCTTAAATAAGATTTTTTATGTGTGATTGGACCAAAATACCCCCACTGCTGCCCCTGGACCTCCGGCCAGCCGCCTTCCGCCAGACCTCCGGTCACCGCCGCCGCCGGAGCACCGCCGGAAAATTCCAAAAAAAATCTGGCGGACTGCCAGATATTGCCGCCGCCGCCACCCGCCGCCGCCGCCTCCGCCACCACCGCTGCCGGAGCACCGTCGGAAAATTCAAAAAAAAAATATCCGGCAGACTGCCAGATTCCGCCGCTACCGCCTCCGCCACCGCCGGAGTTCTCCGCCGTCGCAATGGTGTTTATAAGAATTTATTGTTTATTTATTGTCTACTTATTGTCTATTTATTGTCTATTTAATGTCTGTTATTTTCTTGCCACCGCCGGAAACCGCCGCCACTGCCGTCGCCGCCGTCGGAAACCACCTCTTCCGCTGCCGCCGAGCTGCCGTCACCTCCGGATGTGCAGGGAAACTAGGGGGGGCAATTATTTAGATCAATTAATTAATTAAATAGAATTAGGGGTAAAAAAGGTAATGTTAATCCTATTTAGGGAAAAACATGCATGTGGTCCTATTTTGAGAAAAAGGTTGAGTTTTAGTCCTATATTGGACAATTTTCTCTTCATTTTTCAACAATGCTAGAGGACCTGGGGTTCTCAAATACGTTGCTCATTGGTTAATTAAAAAAATTAAATATTTAATGATGGAACATATTCTGAGACTCCTTTTGACATTTTCGAATGCATGCTTACTGGCTAAAGAAAATACGTAGTTTATATGTTAGGTTAATGGGAAAAATAATTAAAATACCCCAAACTTTATATAAAAAGTTATTTTAACACCATGGTCATGTATTATTTTTTCAAGACGCAGTGACGTTCGTCCCCATGAGCACCTAGAGGGGGACGTAAATGATCAGGGGGTGAGGACGTTCATCACCATGGATACGAGCGTCCCCGCGTCTTGAAAAAAATAATACGGAGTACATGACCATGATGCTAAAATAATTTTTTATACAAAGTTTGAGGTATTCAAAGATCTACCTACTTCTGAAAGCTTCATTTTCTAAAAGATAGTACATTGGTTATATTTCATCTATTCAACAAGTTTAGTAATGAGCATAATGGCTTATTGTTCCAATGAGAAGATGACCCAATAAAAAATAAATTTAAGACTACTCATCTACAGAAAATGTAGAAAATAATTCATTAGAGAAATGAGAGTATTCATTTGGAGGAATAAATTTGTCCCCTTTATCATTGAATTGAATTAATACTCCTAATGAATAATATATAAAATAATCATTAGAATTAAATTTACTAGAATTTATATTATTACTTCATATTAAATCAAGGGTAATGTCATGTGTCAATACATTAATTAGTCTTCAATGTGGAGTAAATTTTTCCGTGCATCACACGGGTACTATACTAGTGTTGTGTAATAGGCATGAAAATAAACGAATAATGTACAAAAATAATGATATTTTGTATCTAGTGTATAGACATTAGAAGCGTTTTTATTATAATAGACTGACCATATGTATTTTAAATGTTTTATATCTACCAAACAAAAATATCAAAGTTGAGAATTGCCATGTATAATTTTAAGCAGTTAGGTAACACTGAAATCGGCTGAATCAGCTGTCCCTGCTGAAATTTATGAAGTTCTGAATTTAGTGGGTGTATTGGCTGATTCTGTTGATTTATGAAAAAATTATTTGTAAAATTTATTTTATTAATAAAATAAAAAAAACAGTTATGGATTTCTATAGTAACTTTAGCCGAAAGAGTCAGAAATGTAACAACAACCTTACTTTTCCTTATTATTACACATTTCAGCATGCCAAATCAAAAATTACGTGTTTGATGAAAAAATTGATCGATAGGTCTGATAAGCCGAATAACAGTAGTGTTAGCAAACATGCTCTGAATAAATAGAGGCCCAATTATGGATTTCTGTTTTGCTAAAAAGGGGGATATGGAGAAAGAATGAAAACTTGCATGGCTGTTCTTTCGAATTTCCTTTTCAAGGGGATCCTATTTCTTGAAGCTCAGCTTTGCTCATATGAGAGCCAATGTTTCCGTCTCTGGTTCTCATTCATTTTACTCCTTTCCCGTTGCAAATCCCAATCTTGTTCCTTCTCCTGTGACCTAAAAAATCTGTTCCCAGGAGGAAGACCCCGTTTGTTTGTTTTCTCTGCCCTTGAGGAGAAATGGGAAATGCTGAATCTTTAGTTTCTCAATCTCCATGGTATTTTTCTGGTTCCACGCCTTAATTTCATATACATTTAAGTGTTTCATTTTCTTTATATTACAACAATTCTTGTTTCGTGTTAATGAATCATCTGAAAGGATCGGTAGCCTTTGATGGGGTGTTTTGATATTTGGGGATGCTGAGTGCTTTTAAAAGAACACAATCGATTTATTGATAAATTCATAACATATTGGTGGACAATTGCAATCTTTAATCATTGATTTAAACACCCTTGAAAATTCCAAATTTCTAGTATGAAAAAGGTGAATTTGAATTATTTTCTTCATTATTTGGCTGATTATCAGTATGTTGGATTGAGTAGTTTAATGTTCGCAGCGAGGGCTCCGGCGATGCAGCTGAAGAAAATGAAGATGCTAGAATGATTGAAATTGAACCTAAACTACTTTTTTGCAATTCCATATCTCTCACTGTTGAAGGTAGACTTTAATATTTCCATCCATTGTAACTCTGTTTTTGACTTTTGTATTGATTCTAATGGAAGAACTAGTGCCGAATTACTTGTATAGGACGGAAAATTGCAATTTATTTTTCATGTCAAAGAACCTTCAATTAACCTAAACCAATGTCTTATAAGGGCACCTTCAAGGTGAGAGACTTATCCTAGCAATATGCATGAGTTCTTCATATTTAGGTAGGATCTCTTTGCACAATAAAAGTTGAAATATTAGCATAATATGTGATCGATTAATCGTATTACATTTCAATTGCCTTTTATTTAACTATAGAAGCAATTCTATTTATCAAGATATCGAGTAAACCTTCATTGCAAACAGACCCTCGGGTTTCCAATGAGAGGCTAGTGGCTATGCTAGGTAGTAGTATTACAACAATGCTCTGAATGCAAGGTTTTGAACAATGCTTTCTTAGAGATGCAATGCCTAAAACTAGAGGAGAACCATACAGAAGAAGGCCTTATTAAAGAAACCGAGGAGGAGGTCTTAAACTTGACAAAAGAAGATGTCGAAGAGGTTGACAAGCCAGCTTTAGAAACTCTTGAAGAGGAGGATAATGAGGCGGAGTTTGCAAAGGAGGAGATGACAGAAAATCTTTTGAGTGAAGCCGAAAGAACAAGTTCAAATAACGGATTTTTGAATGGTGTTCTTACTAACTCTGATGGGAAAACACATTCCCAGTGGTATGAGTTTTTTAGGAAACTAAAAAAAGGACCAGGAGTGAGTTTGCAAACCTTCCATCCCTCTCTCTACTCTTTTAGGAAGCATTCCAAGAAAAGAAGTAGGAAAAACATGGTACTACCTCAAATTGATGCTGATGTAGTTCCTCATTTCTTGGAGACATCGTGGAAGGTCTTCTCCTTATCAGAACTTGAGAAAGCGACATACAACTTTAACCCTGGTATACTCTATTATCAATTGCTTCTTTCAATAAAGTCTGTTGGAACTTGGGAAATACTAGAGAAGGAAAATCAGGAGGAAAATAAAAGGGAACTTTATAAGGAAAGAAATTGTGGGAGGAAATAGAGGATCAGTTCAAGCTTAATAAATATATTACTCTGGTATTTATATTTTTTTGATTATTTATTTATTTAAAAACCTTAATCATATTTCATTTTCCTTCTTTTTTTCCGAGGTGAGGCTGATAAAAGAAAATAAATTTACTCATTAGCATTTTTTTCCTTTCCATTTTTCGTTATCCAAAAACACCTGTAGTGTTAAAAAAATTGGTTAAAACTCAATCAATTTATTTCAATATTTTTTCGATTTTATTTTTAATTCATTTACTTGTATTATATAAATATTTGCAATCTAAACATGTAAAAGAGATTCAAACATTATTATATTTAATTTCTTTGCATTTTCCAAGGTAAATCTAAACAAAAGAAATTATCTTCCCTTGGCACTTTTTTCCTTAGCATTTCCTGGGATCCAAACATAACCTTATTGTTAAGATGACATTATATTGGATTGCGATTTGAGCACTGTAGTGACCCTAAAGAACATTTTGGTGATGCAATATATTCATGTGTCATTACTATTTAGAACATTTGATTGGGAAGGGAGGTTATTCTGAAGTTTACAAAGGACACTTGGAAGATGGGAGGCCAGTGGCAGTTAAAAGGCTGATGAGGGGAAACCCTGAGGAAATGACATCAGACTACTTATCAGAGCTTGGAATTTTGGTACATGTCAATCATCCCAACGTTGCTAATATTATTGGGTATGGAGTTGAAGGGGGAATGTACCTTGTACTTCCTTTGTCTCCTCATGGGAGCTTAGCAACTCTTCTTGATGGTCAATACATTCATTTTCTTGTTTCTATAAGAAATTACTCTCTGCTGTCTAAGCTTTCAAATACTGTAACTAACCAAATTTGGGCATTCATTTTTGTTTTTAATAGGTAGGGATCAAAAGGAGAAACTATCTTGGTGCCTTAGATATAATATCGCTTTAGGGACTGCCTCTGGCCTTGCGTATCTTCATGAGGAGTGTCATAGAAGAATTATACATAGAGACATTAAGGCATCTAATGTTTTGCTCTCGGAGGACTTTCAACCTCAGGTACTTTTTAGCAAATAAATCATAATATGGTTTTTTCTCGAGTGTCAGACACATGCACTTAAGCCATTGGATTTTTCACCTCGTTTTCAATTTCGGCTCCATTTAGCCTAGATTTTAGAATACGAATAACAACTAAAAGAAATTTAAAACCTGAATTTTGTACGAATGATCCGTTTCTTAAAGTGCTTTTATTTACGAGTGATATTTAGATAGTAAAGTACAACCATAACATAATGAAAACATGCATTTAAAAAAACAGGTCTTCCTTATTTTTACAAATCGAAAAGCATATGACCCTAAAAATGCTTCTGTTCCATAACACTTTTGAGTAGTTTTGACCAAACCCAACAGTAGCACTACAAGTAGTATTGCTAAAAAGTACTAGCTTTTAAACAGAAAGGCCATCCGATTCTTAATCTTCACACATTACATTTTCTTGACTCACTTTCCAAACCTTAAACCTCAAACAATCATCGCAAGATAATAATAAGATATGAATGAATCTATTATCGACACAGGGAAGAGTTTTAGGAGTGTTTTACTTATGTATCAAAGTCCTACACTGCTACTCATGTGATATGAAGTTTTGGTGAAGACAATAGTAATGTGAATCTTTGATGGTTAATTTTTAGTCCATTGTAGATATCTGATTTCGGGCTTGCAAAATGGCTCCCAGATAAGTGGAGTCACCTCACTGTATCTCAGTTTGAAGGCACATTTGGGTTGGTTGAATCAGTAGAACCTTTTTTGCACTCTTCTTAATTTTATCTACAGCTATTTTTCACTATAGAGCTTCTTAAAGTTATAATTGCTTGTAATTGCAGATACCTCCCTCCAGAGTTCTTTGTGCATGGAGTTGTTGATGAAAAAACTGATGTATATGCTTTTGGAGTATTGCTGCTGGAGATTATTTCTGGTCGCCCTGCTCTTGACCAATCTAATAACAGTGTGGTGATGTGGGTACGTTTGTAATCTGTGTTATCGATTAGATGGCTGTGAATTTGATATATTGTATTGAAAAAGGAATAAACTATCACATGAAGGCTAAACCGCTGCTACTGAAGAAAAGTTTTGGGGAGTTGGCTGATCCAGCCCTAGAAGGTTCTTATGACTTGGAGCAGATGAAGGACATGGCTATGGTAGCTTCTTTGTGCTTACAACAGTCTTCCGCAGACCGGCCTCCAATGAGCAAGGCATGCTTTTAACTATGATACAATAAAACTTGTTTTCTTTCTTTTTTTGGTCTAATTTTTAAGTCCACCTCTGCAAATAATCGTCCCAAGCCAGGGTTGCGAGTGTTAAATTTGGTTGAAATGCTGAAAGACTGAAGTGTACATTGCTGAAAGCATAATGAAAGGTGTCTCAAATAGCAAATTATCAGAAATATATTTTAAATAGTTTCTTTAGACTATTAAAGGAAGAAGGCAAAAGCTTCACTTCTCTCCGTTTCACTTGATTTAAAAAAAAGTAGCTTTTACACTGTTTGTTAGATTAATTGATCCCTTATTACCTTCAATACTTTGAATAAGTTGGTCTTAAGTAGAAACATGATACTCCCTCCGTCCCTTAAAACTTTGCCATCTTTCCTTTTTGGGACGTCCCAAAAAACTTTGCCACTTTCCCTTTTAATCAATTATTTTGTGGTTTCTCTTATTTCTATCTCCTCTGCACAAACCTCAACCACATAGTTTTTACTTTATTATTCTCCGTGCCTTGGAAAAGTTTTAAGGGACGGAGGTAGTATTGTTTTTCCTCTAAATGAGGTGGTTTGGAAATCTATTTCCCAAATTAGGATAAGCTTAAACTTATTTTCCAAATTATGGTGGTTTTTGCATCGTGATGGCATTGCCTACCATTGATGATGACCACCATGTTATCATCTCATCAACCATGCACCCGAACACATCTCCATTGCACCTTTAGTCATTAGTTACCACATCATCGTGCAATCAAGATGTGCTTGATGTTGCAGTCAAGTAAGCAATGGCGAATACAGTGCAACGGTGATGCCACATCGGAGGGCGGGGGGCTCAGATGTGGTTGATAAACCAAACGAGTTGTTCGCCATCCCAGCAATATCTTTACATGATACAAATGCATATTTTTTATGTCTTTGAGCATATGACATACAGGTTGAAAAAATGCTAAAAGGTGAGGAGAGCATTTCACATGACATCAAGAAGTTGCAAAACCGGCTAAGTCTCAAGACACATCGTCCCATTGAGCTGATCAAAGAAACAATTCTCAACACACCAAAGAGTTCAAATGATTCACCTAAAAGCCTGAACAGTACACCTAAGATTTTATGTGATGATACGAAAGTCAGAAACGAGATTCCAATGGAACAATGACAACCCTTGAAGATGAACACATTTCTCATGTCTCCGACCTTCATTCAACTTTAACTTGAATAAGGAAATTTCAATATCCAAATGGGAAAGGGTATCAACATGATTATGCATGGTAAGATGTTTGGAGGTTTTACAATGTAAATGCTTTGTATATATAATAATTAAATGAGCTATTGTGTTCATAGAAGAGATTACAAACTGAAGCCTTATGGGTGTGTCTGTATATCTAGCTAACTGTTGATTGTTTAGTTAGGAATCGGATTAGGTATCGTCCGGACTAAGTTTGTACACTGTAGAAGACAAAATGTTACAGTGGACTAAACTTGGATTATTAATTAATTTAATAGCTGATTCAACCAATCACAATTCACAATATGAAGGTGTGCTCTTAAAGGATCTAAATAATTACTGTTAACAAGACTTGGAAGGATCAAGCCTTATACGTAGTATGAAGTTTATCGGCTTATTGTATGAAACATAGTTCACACGCATTCAAGGCCAATTCCAAATAAAATTTAGTTAAAACAAAAAATAATACAACGTATGACTTTAGGGAGTACAATTTAAAGAAAATAATCTATTATTCAATACTCCCTCAGGTCCTAAAATAACTTCACACTTTCCTTTTTGGGTATGTCCAAAATAAAATTTACACTTCTATTTTTGATGACCTTTTAATATAAAGTTGCTCTTATACTCTTACTTTATTACCTACTTCATACTCATTTTCTCTCTCCCACTACACTTTATCTACTTTTTGGAGGGCATAATGAGAAAGTCAAAACAAAAAATTTCACTTTCTTAAAAACCGTGAAGTTTAACAATGAAGTTCTTTTGGGACCGGAGGGAGTATAAGAAAACTTTAGACATGTTAGTTGGAGATTTGTTAAATGACTAGAACGCTCAGAAGAATTCGAATGTCCCAAGAGTGTCACCCGTCTTTGTTTGGGTTTGAACAAGACTCTCTGTATTTGAAAATCTTGTTGCTTCCACCAACTACGAAAGTTCAGTGTATAATGTCTCCCAAATGCTGAATTTATGCTCGAGAGTGATCAAGCGGCCGTACCAAGCCTTTTTCTATCCAACATGGATTTGAAAATTCTCATAAATGTCTTGCATTATGAGTTTGACGCTATAGTCCAGATCCAGATGCACTTTAGGATGGATCTCACTTGCTATGATATTGGCCGTTAATATCTTGTCATTCCGAGTTATGGCATAATCTGTCCTACAAGGATACAACTGTGAAAGGGTTGCTATTTTTTCACTTTCCACAACTGTAAGTTCCAACCTTCTCTTGCTTAGATATGGCAAGTGCATACGTTCGGGTAGATGCACACTACCTTGCACAAACGTGCACGTTTGTGATCTGATCAAAAAAATCGATATTGACGAATGTTTTCTTTGACCACGACTTCTTTTAGTGCATCACCATATAAACTGTATAGTGCCGACTGCATAAGGTTCGTCTAACACCACAATCGCCCATGTGCTGTCTACTGTCTCGTCGTTGTCATCGCTGGTGGATGATTCGAAATCACTATTAGAAACTTGTTCATAGTCCGAGTCGTCCGAGTACTATAATTGTACTACGTAACATTTGAAATTTCATAATTTTACTACTATAAATGTAAGGGGAGTTAAGTACTATTAAACAATTCCAATACTAAATAAGGATATTTCATTTAACTATTAATTTCCATTATTATTTCCTTATATGACAATTCCATTACTATCATTTTAAACAATTCCATTACTATTCCTTATATTTCCTTATAAATTACTAACTTTCACCTTTATTTGTATATACATCAAGCAACTAGTAGTATTAGCAATATAGTGTCACTATATACTCACTTTTTTGGATTTTGACTAGTTCAAATGAAACAAATTGAACTAATTTATTCAAACAATAATAATAAATGTTCCAATACATTAAACAACTTCATTTAAAATTCTATTTAACATGTATAATACATTGCGGAAGACAAAAGCGTTCAAACGTTTCGGGGTTATTCCTCCAGCCATATGATGATGAACCCTCCCCACTATTGTGTAACGAGCATCCCCAAGTACACCAGGGAAAATGACCATTATCAAACTCTAACTTTAACAAGACTCGATATACAAAGCGAAAACAAAAGTACAAGCCTTGAAGTGTGACCTTATTTATAAAACGTAGTCAAAACTTACGACAAATAACGATGAGTATCAAATGAAAACATTTTTAAAACTGTTTACACCTGATCAGGATTTCAAAGCATTTCACAAACCATTTAGAAGTACACAAATACTAAAACAAAATATTGTAGCTAGTCAGGTCTTTTCCGTTAACCCATCCAAAAGCCTCGACACCTGCTTCACGGACTCTCTCGTATTGAACTTATTACCTATACTAGCAATGTACGCACTACTTGCATGCGATGGGTGTCCAATGCGAGTAGTTAAAAAATGTGTAATATTTAAGAACATTTTAAAATGTGAGGAATTCAAATAATATAATCAAAATAATTCTCATCTTAAAAAGTTAGAGTACAATTAAAACATATTGTTTAAAGGATAATGTGAGAGTTTTTTTTAGGACGGGTACAATTAGAATATAAAAAGATTTTAATAGTCCTCTACAAGAGATGAAGGATATTAATATCATAGGGATAGTTGGGCTAATTGTTTCTCAATATCTAATATCTAATAAAATTGCTTACATCTTGTCATGTACATACTAATAATCACTAAAAGAGTGTCACAAATGATAAAAAAGTAAGTTTGATATCATTGATCCATTTGAAAAAAAAAATCAAAAGCATAGATTTTTCAAATAAACATTACTTCAGTCCCATAAGCTGATAAATTTTAATAATGCGGAGAGAGTGCTATAAAATATATTACAAAATGTACTATATAATAGAAAACAAATTATGCACAAAATATATGTTTCCTATATTATAGAATATTTGACAGAATAGAATGTTATATTAATGGAGTATAAATACTTTTAAACTGATAAGGCTAAAAATTAAATTTCCGATAACATTAATAAACTAATGTAGTCAAAGTAGAGTATGCGACTATTATAACACTCTATATTGTTCTTATTTTGTTCATATATTAGAAATCATTTATTTATTTATTTAATGCCGAATAAGTTGTGTCGAGGATTGATGAAATTATTCTTTTCTTATATATAGATAGATAAATAGTTGAATTTATTGAATCACATATATTGGATATCTTCTTCATTTGGAATGTTATTTAGTTCTCTTTGGTAACACTGAAATTGCCTGAAACTACCGAAGTTGATGGCATTTTTGCTCAATTTCCTTATTTACGAAGAAATTGTATTTTAAAATATATGTCACAAATATTTATTTCAGAGGTTTTTTCTTAGTGTCAATTTGATATAATTTTAAACATAATTATAGTCATTAAAACTTAATAAGTCATATTTTTATCCATTATTTTTATCTTTGTCATATATTAGGAACTTTTATTTATTTAATACGGAATGCTCTGTATCGAGGTTGGAAAATAGAAAGGTTGTCTAATAAATCTTCAGTTCTTTTTTTTTTAATTTTTCATATGCAATATTGGTGTCATATGAAAGATCGTAAAAAAATAGAGAAAAAATGAAAAAGTTATACCACTTTGAAGAAAAATGTATTTTTTTTAATACAATGAGTCCCATGAATTGATGCCACGTTATTTGTAGAGTCCTTGAGATTGCCCCGTGGCATTTGTAGAGTAAAGGAGAGATTATTTTAACTATTTTTCATATAATTTTTTCTTTAATTAATTAATAAAATATATTTTGAATTATTTTTTTGCACAAATCAGCAGAATCAGCTAATACAACCCTTCAAGAAAGAACTTCAGAAATTTTAACAGAATCAACCAATGCAGCCGATTTGGGTGTTACCAAACGGGCCCTTAATAAAGATACAAATCAGTCCACTTGACTATTCTTGATAAAGTTTTTTAGATTCTATTTTCCCTTAATTCTAAAAAGGGAAAGTAGACCAAATAACGTACAAAATACGAGTACGTTCTAGAACAAAAAGTAGTGCAACAATATAATGTAGTGGCAATGTTCTGCTCCTTTAGTCAAGGAACATTGACTTTAGGTGATAGAGTCACAAATATACTCGATTAAAATCAGCTAATTGTAATGAGTTTAACCGATTAATCAAAAAGCTAAAATATGTCATAACTTTAAAGTAACAATTAAATACTTCCTCAACGACATACTCCGCTCTTAAAAAACTGCAATTAAAGTAACAATTGGCTAGTATTTTGTAACGGCCAATTAAGTTGTTACCGAATACCAATTAAAGTAAGAATTAAATACTTCCTCGCTCTTAAAAAACTGCAACAGTCAACATTTCACACTTGCCGAGAAACAACTTTGACCATTATTATATATAATTCTCTATTAGTAAAAAAATTATAAAAAATTAGTTTTTGAAAATTTACAATGAAACAAATTTAATAATATATATTTTTAAAAATTATATATTAATACATCAATAAATAAAATGTAGTCAAAGTAGAACATGTGAATAGTGTAAATTTCACATGTTGCATGTTATTTAAGAACGGAGATAGTATGTTTTTACTTGGCCAGATGACTAAAACAGAATTAAAAAAATGAGATCACATTTTGACAGTTATAAAACAGTACACATATATCAAATCAGATGAGCTCGGTAGCTCTAACTAATTGTTAAAACTCATCGGTGCAGTTGAAGTCGGAACCGGAGCACAAGATTGATCTGCAGTCCGGTTCGTCATAACTACTCTGCTGTGGGGAAGAACTGTACGAAAAGGCAACATCACATCTGACAAGAAGCCCGCGAGGTTTGGGTTCAGAGCCACCCTTCTGAATCTGAATCACAGCATTCACCTCAATGGTCGTGATGATGGCGTTCGAAGCATTCTTTTGGTGCTCGATGGTTGTCGTGGCGTTGCCGTCAAGCGCCACGTCACTAGCCTGAAGCGAGAGCGGGAGGGTAGTGATGTTCCCGCCGGTCTGGTTGAACGGCGGAACCATGGCGGAGGAGGTGGACGCAAGGACGACATAACCGTGATCTAGATGTTGGCGGTTATAAGCACCGCTTTCATCAATGAGAAATATGTCATATTCCAAACCTACTTTCACTTGGGTGGCGTTGAAGGTATAGATAAGGGTAGTGCCGTGTTTGTTAGGGTTGTGGGCTGTGAGGGTGAAGTCGAAGGTTCCGGTGAAGAGGGGAGTGCCGCCGCCGGCGTTGAATGTACCGTTTTGGATAAGCGCATTCACAACGGCGAAATCCGGCGGCTTCGGGCCGTGGGACTTATATACGGCTGGGCCTATAACCCACAACCAAAGCAAGAACAGAACAATGAGAAAAATGAAAACTGAGACACCCAAAATATCGCGACACTTCTGCCTCATCGGTTAGCTTGCTGAATTATTCCTTCCCAGTACCTACGCGTTAAGTTATGTACATCGCATATTGATTCGCTATCGAGATGGAATATAGAGAGGGTTAAGGTGCATCATTCTTATATACTACCCCCTTCTCAAATTAATTTACAAAAAGTCAACAATTTTTATTAAATCCTCCTTATTTATAATTCATTCAATTTTTTTTAATTAAATTTACATATTCACAAACCGTATTAAAATCTTTTTAAATAGGGAAAATGTAAACTAATAATCCAATTTTTTAGCGGTCTTCTTACAATAGTCTCACATTTTCATTATTCATGAATAATCCAACCTTTGCACCCCATCTTCATTCACTGGTCCCTGACCGATTTATGACCTGTTATTTCAAGTTATTTTCTAATCTTTGAAAAACATTATACCATAATTCCACCTTATGATCACATAATGTTTTGCAAAGATAAGAAAATAACTTGAAATAACAGATCATAAATCGAACAGCGACCAATGAATGAAGATGGAGTGCAAAAATTGGATTATTCATGAATAATGAAAAGGTGAGATTATTTTAAGAATACTGCTAAAAAGTTGGATTATTAGTTTCCATTTTCCCTTTTAAATTTGTAAACTTCAAATTAGAATATAATTAAAAATTAATATACTGATTAAGTGAATTAAATGAAACTGTTTAACTAACAAATCGTTTTTGCAAATTAATTTGGGAGATATAGTATTAGTCCACCTGCTCTGTAAAGTTACTTTGAGAGTGAAGACATACATACACCGAGATTTAAGGAAAAATGAGAAAAGTACATGGACGTGTTCCTTAAAAGATGACAGAAAACGGGGGAGATTTGCCGAAAGTTAGCGTAAAAAATACTACGTACTCCGCAAAATGTTGTTCCCAATAATTGAGTGGTGTTTCTAGAAGGAAAAAAGGTCCACTAATTAGTCCCTTACAATTACGAGTGCAAATGAGTCAAGCCGTTCGGTCAAAACACGACTCGAATTCGATCAAACTCGAATTCGAGTCGAGGTTGAGCTGGCTCGTTAAGCAAACGAGCCGAACTCGGGCTCAATTCATTTGAGCTCGTGAGCTCACGAGCCATAATATATAAATAACTAAGAAATACATAAATTAATAAATAAATGCATGTGTGATTATATACTTATTTGTAAATATAAATTATATTGATTTATTTATTGATGTTTATTTGTTTGTATATTTTAAAATTTAATTGATCTTAAAATAAGGAGTAAAAATGTGAATGGAAGAGAGAAACAAAAAACGAGAACGATTAAGTACAAATATTATATATTATTTATCTAATACGAATTATATGAATATAATTTTAATAATTTGAAAAATAGAAAATCTTTTTTAGCCTGAATTCAAACTCAAGTTTGAGCATCTTCTTCGAATTCAAACTTATAAAAATTAATTAGCAAAGTCAACCTAAACTCAAGTTGAGCTCGACCTAAGCTCGGCTCGAGTTCGAACTCGATTTATTTAGATCATCCGAACTCGAACTCGAGTTCGAGTTTGACCGAATTCGAAGAAGAATTTGGGATGCACAGGAGAAAGTTAAGAATGGGGAGGATGAGGTGGCACTCGATGGGATAAAAAAACGGCGAGGAGGCGGACTTCGACTAGCAAGTCCGCCTAAGTTGATACAAGTACCAATACAGAAGCTATGGATACTCGTGCAGTTCGGCAAGCTCGGACAACAATTCAAATTTATCAGTTTTATTTGTTTCTATTATGGCAATGTTGTTTGCTTTATGTTTTGTTTTGTTTTTGTTGTTCCTTTCTGTAAGACAATGATTTGGATATGGGGATGAAAGGAATGGGGTAACCGTCTTTGGCTCATTTATGCCAATGAATGAATCAACAAGTTATATTGCTTCGTTTGAGGTGATTAACTCTGAGTCTGATTCGCGGGACGACGGTTGTCAGGATTCTTTTTGTCGGATTACCCATTATCTGAATGATGTGTTATCAATATAAGCCTATTTCTTCCAAAAAATATAAGCATCACATTCATATTTATTGCCCATGTAATTTAAAATACATTTTATATTTTATTAAAGTATGTATGTGTTAGAATAATAATTTTATTTTATATGTTGACCGGGTTTTCTGGGTTTGACCGGGTTGACTTGATGGGTCCAGGTTGACCCGTGACCCAGTTATTTGGCCTGGTCGCTCACCGGTCCGGTTTTTACAACACAGATAAAAGTATAAAAGCCTGGTTCATTGAGAGGCCGGTTTGCTATCTTCCATGACAACTTGAGATGTCAATTACTTCTTCCGTCCATAATAACTTTGCCAAATTTAACCGGCACGTGAATTAATAAAGTAAAAACTGTGTAGTTGAGATTTCTGTAGAGGATAAAGAATTAACTGAAACTGCAATTTTTTTGAAAGATATCAAAGTTAACAGGACATCAAACAAAAGTTCTGGGAGTTAAAATTTAGGGAAAAGTATGAAAAAGTACTTGTGGTTGGGTCTGTTTTCAGACAGGGTCATGTGTTTCATTTTTTATCAAAATGGTTCATGTGTTTGAACTTCATTATCACAAGAGGGTCCTAGCGCTTGACACCGTTATAATTCGCCGGAGGAAGACAATGAACGGTAACTTTGATTTTCAAAAGTGACCGAACAATTAAAATAAAAATATCGGAAGGTCGCCTCAAGAAGACGACCACTAGGCCATCTTTCATTTTTGTTTCGAGCCACTCTTGTCACCGGAAATTCCACCGGAGAAGTGATATTAGTGAATTCATTTTTAAAAAAATAATCAAAAAATTTAATCCACTAGGCATAGTTTTCCCTAAAATTTATAAGGGAGAGAGTAATAAAAGTCCCGTAGATTCAGAGCTTCATAGGCCCTGATTGGTTCAACTTTTATTTTAATCTTGGGAAAACTATCAAATAGGTTTTCGAACTTTCATAAAAAGGTCAATTAAGTCCTTCTATAGGAGGTTCTGTTCGGCCGTCGCGATTTGGGGCAGTTCCAGGTGTAATTTTTTGATGCAATTTTTTGAGTATCATATTCACCAAGTCTAGTTTACTCATATCAAATTTCAGCTAAAAACTCAATCGAGAACACAGTAAAATTAATTCTTGAAGATAATTGCGTATTTTTGCGTTCTCGAATTAATTTGAATGTGTTACGGATTAAATTTTTAGGTGAAATTTGGTATGTGTACGACACACTCTCCCAAACCTATCATCTTCAAGTGAGAAAATAATCAAATTCTTCTCGAGGAAAATTACCTGGTTTCGTCCACCTTGAGCAGATGGATAGGTTTGTATGGTACGCTCTTCTTCATTTCCTTTCCATGATCGCATTGGTCGCTCGCCAATCATCAGCCTCATCAACCGTCAATCCATCTAAAGTTAAGCAAATATCATGGAAACCGAGGTGCTTGAAGCTACAATTTTTTCTGCAATTCTATCACATTTAAATGTTCTCGCCAAGCGAGCTGCAAGTGACTTTTTTTTTTTTTTCTCCCAGAGCCTTTGTATATGAAGGCTTCCTGACAGATGAAGAATGCAATCATTTGATATCTCTCGTGAGTGTTGATTATCGTTGTTTTTAGCTTTCAATTATATTTTGCATTTTGATTATTCAAGTTGCAGGATATGAATTTGCGAGATCTGATTGCATTTGAAGCTGAGATTTCTGTTTGGCGTGTTAAATTTGTGGTAGGCGAGATCAGAGTTGAAAAGATCGTATGTTGCTGATAATGAGTCCGGGAAGAGTAAACTTAGTGAAGTTAGAACTAGCTCTGGAATGTTCATTTCTAAAGGAAAGGTCTGTTTTTGCGATGGGCTGACATGCTTGGTTTCAAATTCTTTTGAATTTCTTAATTGTAAATATTCATGCCATTTGTTTAAAATATAGCACTGACAGCTAGGTCCAAATCTTGGGCTTCTGCCTCTTTTTAGGACCAATTTGCAATGTTGTAAATCCTAATAATTCATCTGAGTTTTGTATATTTATGTAGGGCAAGGAAACGTTTTAATTAAGAAATCTTCCCTGTGTTATGTTTTTCATTCCTTTGGAAATGATGAAAAAAGCTTCCCTGTATTATGTTTTTCATTCATTTAGAAATGATGAAGTGCATTGCTTTGGTGTTTTTTGGATTATTAATTTTAACAATGTTATTGGTTTTTGTTTTGGATTTTCCTGATCATTTTCATCTTCACTCCATTGATGCTTCAGGATCCAATTGTTTCTGGGATAGAGGAGAAGATTTCCGCTTGGAGTTTTCTACCAATAGGTATGAGTCAAATTCAGGAATGACCAATTTGAACATCGGGTTATCAATTCATTAATTTTGTAGGGGAATGTAGGGAATGATCAGGTGTGGCATTTAAGAATTACTTTGTACATGGATCTCAATGACTCCCGTTATTAAGATATTAAGTCAATTTTGTTGTCTATATGCCGTATGTTTTGGACTTTTGGAGAACGGTTTTGTTGCCTAAAACTCTCTGCATTCCTTAAAGATGGAGGATCCAGGATTCTAATTTTCATTCAACTCACTATTGATTGTTATATGTAGTTTCGCTGCACTGGAATTGGTCTCGGATTATTTGTTTTTATTGTTATCAGAAAATGGAGAAGACATACAAGTATTACACTATGAGGAAGGTCAGAAGTATGAAGCACACCATGATTACTTTGTCGACAAGGTTAATATTGCTCGTGGTGGACACCGAATGGCCACTGTACTCATGTATCTGACTGATGTACCAAAAGGTGGTGAAACTGTTTTCCCTGATGCAGAGGTTAGTTTGGTTATTATTGTTTCTTTTACTACGTATAAGTTTAGTATTAAGTTAGCACAAATGTTGGTGTTTCTTTTACATAAATGAAAAATGAGGAAGGCAAATATTTAACTGATAATCTAACACATTCTTCTATGATGTGCATATTGAGTTTTACAATATCAGTTTTGCAATTAGGCATTACCACAAGTCTACAACAACTATCTAAAATCATGTTCATCTCATAATATATTTCTATTACTGCTGAGTCAAAGGCTAAAGAACCTTTGACCCAATGATGACAGATGTGCACTAAAGAGCCTCTCTCTATCAATGGTGAGTCAGGCTAAATATTGTAAGACCATGTGTATCCACCTCTTTAACCGCTCATCAATACAATTATATTGAAACCAGGGAGCATTTAAGAGGGTGTTTATTACAGGATGGTTCTATATTCCTGGAAAAAGATGGAAATATTTTCTGATGTTCACCGGATGTGCTTGACTACGGAATGTTGTTTCCATGAAAATACACATTTCATTGTGGGAGGGGAAAAAGATTAATGTGGAAGGATGAGGGGGTGGTGAGGTTTATTTTTGTTGACTACTGTGGAAAATATTAGCATTTAGAACATATCCCGTGGAACGGTAAAAGAAGAAGGGGCGTGTGTGCTTACAATTGACAAGTTCCTAATGACAATGTAGATGTTGCCGTAGGTCAGATTTATTTCTTCAAGGTGGATACCAGAATTTCGCATATTCAATTAGTCTTGGTCTACACAGACTACACTTTGATTAGGGAAGTCTCTCTTTAGCCCTTCTAACATTCTCCTAGGCTAACTTCCCATCTTTATGCCATACTAGATGTCTGTTCAAACTTATTTAGTTATTTATTAGTAATTCTATTATACAAAAACTAAGATAAATGTTGTTTAAAAATGATCATATTTCATTTTCCTCTGTCCTAAAAAATGAAACACATTTGATTTACCTTTTTATTTTTCCAACGTTAAAACCAAACATAAAAATAACTTACCTGAGAAATTTGTTTCCTTTCCCTAGCATTTTCTGAGTCCCAAACATACCGTTACAATTTGAATTTGCTAGATAGGAATTTTAGTAGGTTGTAGGTCTGTTAGACAATTACCTCCACTTTGCACTTGTAATACCACCACTTTGCACTTGTAAGTTAGTTTTCATTATTCCTTCTTCACCAGTATAACATGAATTTATCTTACCAACATGATAAAAATGGGCTCAAACGGAACAAACTACAGTAAGATATGATCTTATGAAACACTTCGCCTATATGGAGTGAACAAAGTATTGTTTGTGAATTTCAGTGTAATATGTACCCATGCTTCAATATATGGTAAATGCAGTTTCTTTAAGAGTTTTAGAACTAGAATTTTATCTTTCCAACAAGATAAAAGTGGGTTCAAATGGAATAAACTACAGTAAGATATGATAAAATTAAACGCTTCCTTGTATGGACTATGGAGTCAACTCAGATAAACTAGTAACTTCTTGCATATGCTTTTACAGCAATCACCTCGTAGATCAATGATTTCCAATGATGATTTTTCTGAGTGCGCTAAAAAAGGCATAGCAGGTGAGTTCTTCTAAAACTGTCATAATTTCATATGAGGTAGTTTCCCCTGAGATGGTCTCTTCAGTGAGACAGGACCAAGATGAAAATAAGAATAATTCTGTTTTCTTAAAGTAGAACCTCTTACCATAATTTCATATGCGGTAGTTTCCCCTGAGATCATCTCTTCAGTGAGACAGGGCAGGATGCAAGTAAGAATACTTTGTTTTTAAACTACACCCTTTTTTCCTATTTTTGGTATGGCACTGTAGACATAGAAATTTTGATTTATCCAATAAATTTGATATTTAAAATTTAATACTCCCTCCGTCCCAAAAAATACTTCCCGGTTTGAATTGGCACGCTTATTAAGAAAGTGGAATAAAGTGGAAATGTATGGTTGTAGTTGTGTAAGAAAAAGGTAAAATGAATGTGAGCCACACAAATTGTCCAAAAAAGGAAAGTGGGAAGTATTTTTTGGAACGGCCCAAAAAGGAAAGTGGGAAGTATTTTATGGGACGGAGGTAGTATTAGTTAATATCAAGTTTAAGATAAATTTGATATTATCTAATATGTTTTATTGCATCCTCCTATTTCTATAGTCTTCATTGGTGACAAAAAAGAAAAAGAGAGAGCCATTCACCAAACTTAATTCTATAGTTCTTCTCACAAAAAACATTTAGCTCCTTGATAGGAGCGTAAACTGTTGACATTATTTTAAGTATTATATGTCTTTTTTTTTGTGTGTCGATCCCAAATTCTTTTGGGACTAAGGTTTGGATGTTGTTGTTGTTATGTCTTTTTTCGTGTTTTTTAATTTTTTTTAGTTGTTTACTGGCACAACTCTGGTTAATTACGAATCTTACATGCATTTTTACATTTATTTTTTGAAAACTAAATTTAACTTGATTGTACCCTTCTTTTATTTGAAAACAATACATTAGTTACATGGAAAATAGTTTTTTTCATTGAAATAGCAAGTAGGAGTTATGTAAAACAGGGTCTCGATCATGAGAGGAACGATAATGTACTACTTTAGAATTTGAAAATAATAAATAAATATTTTTTTCAGTAAGGAATGTTTTAAAGGTTAAAAATAATACCTGCTTTTTCAAATACGTCTTTGAACTTTTAAAATATAAGGGTATATTTTGGTAATCTCATCCTAAGGCCATCTCATCTTGTGGTATTACTTCATGATGTGAACTTACAAGCAATATACTTGGGGTCTGTCTTACTCCATCTGGGAATAATTATATGATGCAGTGAAGCCACGGAAGGGAGATGCACTCCTGTTCTTCAGTCTCCATCCAAATGCCATTCCTGATCCTATTAGCCTGCATGGCGGCTGCCCCGTGCTCGAAGGTGAGAAATGGTCCGCAACAAAGTGGATTCATGTAGATTCCTTCGACAAGATTGTGGGATCCGATGGAAATTGTACTGATGTAAATGAGCACTGTGAGAGATGGGCTGCTCTAGGAGAATGCACTAATAACCCAGAGTATATGGTGGGAACTCTTGACCTCCTTGGTTACTGTAGAAAGTCTTGCAAAGTTTGTTAATCAATCAAGTATATGCCATATGGTGAAAACTCCACCATCACTCCCACCCCAACTCACAGGTTTACTCTAGAGAAATCCTTGCAAAATATTTTTGTTTTCAGAACATGTTCTTCCACTCAGAACTCCTTTAGCAATATTGTCCAGTTTTTTCATTCCCGTATGCTGTAGTCTCTCCTAATTGGGCATGTATATATTTACAAAAGTGCGAAAAACAGTCTGCCTTTGACATCAAATTCACTTTTGTTCAGAAACCCGCACATAGACACTTAAGAGAGTCTTGCATCTGTGTCTTATGCGAGAACAATAATGAAGGTGGGACATTTGTAGCGTTACTCAGGGATATGTGCTGTCCATATTAGTTTTCCATACTTTTCATGTATGATGTGTTGGACAGAATGTTGAGGCTTGTGAAAATTGCATTTTTATTGTGCTCCTTTGCTGTATTTTAATGTTTGAGAATATTACCCGAAAGAGGACTAAAGAGGTTTGAAAATTCCAAAATAGAACTGACATGTTTTTATTCCCAAAATAGGACTAATTACGGTCATGTTTTGGCAGTGCCAGATTTCAAACATGGCATTATTTTCTAAACTTGACAGTAATTACTCATATTTTTAGAATAAAAACATGACAATCTTATTTTGGAATTTTTAAACTGTTTTAGTCCTGGGAACTTTCCCTTAATGTTTTTGTTTCTGCTTTTCTAGAACCGATGCACAATTAATTAGTATCAACGTGCTGAGAATCTCATCCAACGGAGATTGTCAATTTGTTGTCATATTGAACTAAGAAAAATTCTAAAGGTACACACTTTTTTGTGTACATACTTTTTACACATGTCTGTGCAAGGTTTTTTTATGTGTGTACAGACATAACATATTTTAAAAATACGTTATGTCTGTACAGACATAAAAAAACCTTACACAGACATGTGTAAAAAGTGTGTACACAAAAAGTGTGTACCCTAAGTCCAACTCGAAATTATTTGTGTTTGGTTGGTGGTATGTTATAATGGTCAAAACCAAACACAAATAATTTCACAATAAAATCTTTAAATGTATTTTTGTGTTCCAAGTAACTCTGTTTAAAATAGTGCTTATCAGATGGAAGAAGATCCGAGTAAAACATTTCCGAAATGCTTGTTTAACGAATCTTTAAATCATAATTGAAATCAACGAGTAATCTTTTGTGGGGAAAAGAAACACTGAAAACTTATACGAAGTATGTAATTGATGCCCTCGTTTAAAATAAATTAATTTAGCGGAGAAATGAAACTTGGATACTATTGACTAATTAAGTGACATTTTTAGGTTGCGCATGATGATTATATGATTATAAAAATGTTACTTAATAAAGAGATACTTTAGCTTTTGTAACTAGGATTTTGGTGTATTTCTTCTAAAAGTTTGCTCAAAAAGTATAGTATAACCTCTTATTTATTTTCTTGCTGTATTCATTTAATGTGTATTTCTTACATCGCTTGTACCCTGGGTTTGGATTTATTAATATGGTTGTGGCAAATCAAGTCATGAGAGACGATTACTCTTGCTCTTGTGGGTTAATTAACAAAAAAAAACTAAAGTACTGATATTTCAATTTAAATTCAAATAATATTTTTGGTTTTCTATTTGCATTTACATCTAAGCCTTTTAACTTGACTAATTTCTATTAAAGCTCATCAAGTAAAAAATTGGCAAATCATAGTATTCCAATATTTTTCATACTCCAGAAATCATCTTTATCAATGTTCCACATCTTGTGGTCACTTGGACGGCTACTGAATTTTTATCATGTCGTGTATGAAATCTGTTTGGTCCCCGTACTCTTTGTATTCTTTTTTCTAATAAACTGGTAGGGTGTTACCTGGCCCCTATCCCAAAAAAATCGTTTTCGATAAACGATTTTTTGGTTTGAATACCGGGCTTTAAAAAAAATCGGGGTTATACGGTGAGATATGCGTATTGGTTCACGGATACGGGTATCAGAAGTATATCACTTGGTCCAAAAGGTTGAATGCCCAACCCCAAGGCCCCCCACCCCGATCCGATAGGATGATGGAGAGGTTAATCACGATAACTCAGTCAGCAAAGCGGCGGTAGGCCTTATACACGTGCGCACCAGAGGTCCAGCCTTATTTCAGGTTCTGTAACCTCCACACGACCGCTGCGGGTTTCGAACCTTGGTCACTTGGTCCAATTTTCCCACCACTCGACCAACTGAGCTACCCGTGCGGGTTATAAGTATATCACATTTTTAAAAATAAATCAAATACTTTTATTAAATTAAGGATATGAACCCAATAATTACGGTACACGTATCGATGAGTATCATTATTGGATACGCGGATATGGCATCAGGGTGAAGTATAAGTGCAACATAGGCGTTTGCTTTTAGCCGATTAAATGACCGAGTTACCTTCCAAAATTAACCCCGCACTTCTCTTGTTTATCCGCTGCACCAGTCAACCCTTCACAAGCACAATTCCTGTTTTTTTTTTTGCTTTCACAATTCCTGTTTTCTTCACTAATGTTATGAGTTCTTGATTTAAGGTTACATTTATGGATTTTGGGGGTTTGTGAGGAGATTTCATATTACATTTTTCATATTTGATCAACTTTAGATATGATTATTTGAGTTCTGAATCTGTAAAACTGAGGTTTAAAATCTAATATTTCCATTCACCTTCACTCTCTTCGTATTTACTATCTTGTTGAAGTGAATAGGTAGAGGAGTTTGAATCGTTTGGATAATACATGAAAAGCTACCAAGAAATTGAGGCTTCTCTTGAGTTTATTTCCCCATATTATAGAAGTGGCTAAGGGAGCCAATTATTTTATTGAAGCATTGTATCGAACACATGGTACCTTACGTAAACCCATCATCTAGTTACCATTTTTATGATCACAAATTCAATCCTGGTTGAATTAACTTCAACTTAGATAGATTACATTCTTAATTTAGTGTTCAACAATTTAATGCTTAATTCGATCCCTCATAGCCATCTCCTGCGGGAACGACACTATATATAATGATTTGCAGTTTTTACACATTTTTCACTTAAAGTAAGTGAACATGAATCCAAACACTACCTAGCATTGAGCTCACAATTGTCAACAAAATCATTTTTGTAGACACACATCACAATTACCCCTAATTAGACTTCACTTAGATTCTTTTAGTAGTTACACGGAATTATTATTAGTCTTTGTACTTCTTTTACTTATTCCAAATACCTTAAAACATCGATCACCTATATTCATCACTCATCTGAAACCTCCTAGCTATGCCACTTCATAGTGCATTGGAGAATCAATGTACATGCTACAGTGAGTTGAAGTCTAATTTTTGAAATTGTTTTAATGTAATTATTTTATCATTTTTCATATTCAGCCCACCCCGCTAATGTTAAAGCCTAGTATAATTGCTCCTCAGCCCAAGCCATATCAGATTCCTGGATCCGCCCTTGTTGTCATAGTGCATATGTGCGGTACGTGGCGCTGCTAGTAGTTTGAGAGACACATGCTCTCTTTCTGAGAATCAGCGGAAGAGAACGCCACCTTCGTGTACCTGCATATCACGTTAAACCTACTATAATGCCGGGCAGCGCCCTTCAGGACTTGAGCATTCACCTCAATGGTCGCGAAGGTGGCATTCGAGTTCGACATGTGTGTGTAGAAGGTTGAAGCGTCGTCATCGTCAAGCGTCACAGCTTTTGGCAAGGGGGAAAAAGGGATGTAAGTGACGTACGTTAGAGGGAGGCTGGTTGACAACGGCGGTCATGATGGTGAACGCAAGGGCATTCCCAGAAATGTTATAGGCGATAATAGCATGACATATTTAGATATATTCTCGTGACATACTTAGATGATTTGTAATATTCTCAATTATGTATAAATCCCCCATAATCCTCTTGTAATTACTCCCCTTCCTTAGATACTACCATTATTCTTGTATAAATTGTGGTAATACAAAGATTTCCCCTAAAAGGGTTTTGTTCAATCTCCTATAGGCGAGTTTGGCTTCTGCGGCCATGTAGGTAGGAAATGTTACGGTCTTCGGCTGGTAGTTGTGTTGTCTGATTGGTTGGTTGGCTCATAGTTTTGGATAACCGGCATGTGCCGGTGGCGGAACCACTGAACGATTCTGATGATTGAGAGAGGACCAATAATGGTGCAAAATAGTAAGAGCATCTCCAGTCCGAAGCTGTTCACATTAAAAATGATGGCTACGTCTTCCGCTTTAAACATCGATGTAAAAAACTAGTTTCCAATGCAGCATGTAAACTTTCTTGTAATGCTGACTTGTCAAAAAAATAAATTTGACACTGTTTACATCAATGTATTCGTTTAACATGCCTGTTCACATGTTACGTCAGCCATTTTGGGGGTTAAGAAATATCCTGCCGACTAAAAGAAACTACCCACTAAAAAAATTCACCTTCCCATCTCTCTCTTGTGCAATCTGTTGCAAAGTGGAGAGCATTACACTGCTGTATTTGGTTTCCCACCGGAGACCATTTCTCTGATTTATCAAGTCGTTGCAACGTGAGTCTTAACATTCTTCCTACATGGCTAAACATTCCAAAAATGCATCGACATGTGTCACATTTTTTTTAATGTTAACCGTCTCCCATTAAAGATACTCTAATAGGAGAACTGTAGTACAACATTTACAGTATACCATGGCAGTTAATCAAGATTGACGTAAGTGGATTATTAGTATTACGGAGTTCTGGTATTTTTTATTAGGTAAGGAAGTCCATATTATATGTATATAAATCATATACTCTGTATATATATAGAAATAAAATATACTAGTACTACACTCGACTAGAGAATAATTATAATACATATCTTTATATATATAAAAACTGGATTGTCTCTCGAGTACCTGTTCCCGCCTAGCAAATACAGTTGACGCATGACACAATCTAATTACATATGGAATTAATAAAGCAGTTCTTTGACGGTTCTGGAAATCACGTCTCCACGTTCCAGCCCACTCAATGTTGGATAACTGCTTTCTGAGGGTGTATAAATAACACAATTGTCCGATCCGAGACAGGATTAGTGCACTGCTAGAGACCATGTTCAACATATTAAAGTCCATGAACTTACATCATGAAAGACAAGTTCCCAGCGTACCAGTAAGAATGTTACGAACTCCGT